GTTCATTGAGGGCAGCTCATGTACCCGGCGTACTGAACCAAGGAGCAGACATGTTATCTCGGAGCAACGTCTGCTGGAGTGCTCCACCCACAGACGGTTCAGAAAATCTGGGAGATCTTTGGCAAGGCAGAGGTCGACCTCTTCGCCTCAAAAGACAACTCTCACTGCCAAACTTATTTTTCAAAGAACGAGGACGAGTTGGCCCACGAATGGCCCAACCTCCTCCTGTATGCTTTTCTCCTGATCACCCTGATCCTCCAGGTAATCAGGTGAGTCAGGGAGCACAGGCACAGAGTGCTTATGGTGGCCCCGCTCTGGAAGAACCATCTCTGGATCTCAGGAGGCAGGACCTCCTCTCTCAAATGAACAGAACAATCTGGCACCCCCAGCCCGAGCTGTGGGCACTGCACCTAAGGGCTCTCAACGGGAATCAGTAGATCTCCCAGAGAGCGTCCTGAATACTATCTCACAGGCCAGAGCCCCATCTACGAGATGCCTCTATGCCCTTAAGTGGTCGATTTTCTCCGCCTGGTGCGAAACCTGTGGCGAGGACCCAATAACATGTGACATATCGGTGATATTGTCCTACTTACAAGAGCTGTTGGACAAGGGCTGTTCTTCCACGTTCAAAGTCTATGTGGCAGCTATAGCAGCTTCTCACGCTCCTATAGCCAGACAGTCGGTGGGCCGGAACAACCTTGTTATCCGTTTGCTGAGGGGATCCAGGAGGCTCCATCCACCCCGGCCCCTCACGGTCCCTACATGGGATCTACCCACGGTCCTTAGAGCCCTCAAAGGCTCCCCCTTTGAGTCACTCCAGTCTGCGAGCTTAAAAACACTGTCGCTGAAGACCGCTCTGCTGCTGGCGCTAGCATCAGTTAAGCGAGTAGGCGACTTGCAGGCTCTCTCGATAAGCCCTGTCTGTCTTGAGTTTGGGCCTAACAACTTCAAAGTCGTCCTAAAGCCAAGACATGGGTATGTCCCTAAAGTGCTCTACACGCCGTTTAGAGCCCAGGTTATTACTCTCTCTGCGCTTCCTCCGTCTGAGGAGGACCAGGAGTTTAACCTTCTCTACCCGGTGTCGTCGCTTCAGTCGAATTGACCTGAGATCCTATGGCGAAATGCCCGCTTATATAGCCAGATGGCCCCGCCCATTCTGGCGGGCTCCGCCGCCATAGGCTTGTGCAGCACCGCTGCTGAGCCATTGGTTCGTTTTATAATCACTGCACGAACCAATGGCCGTGCAGTTACACTGCGTGATTGAATAAGTCTTCAGTCCTCTGAGAAAAAGGAGTTTTTCCCCATAAGCGTCCTGCGATGCAGTACTCGTTCCTGCATCTCGGGGAACCGGGGTTACGAAAGTAACCGAGTACGTTTTTCTGCTTAAAAAAAAATCATGTTTAATTCAGCGTGTTACTTGCCATGTCTCATTATTTGTGAAATTTACTAGCAATTTCTGAGTTAATTTTTTTACTACACCAAATAAATTTTTTTCAGTGTAGAGTTATGTCTCAATTAAGTTAAATTATTCAAATATTTACTGATGTGCAAATTGTATGTTAGTGTCATTTATGTCACAATTTAGCAAAGTTTTAACTTATGCATGTAGAATGTCAATAAAAACTAAAATATGAAAGGTAAAATTACTCATGCAACCAAAACATTTGAGGCAATGCACATAGACATCCATTGACCAATGAGAATTTCAGATACGTCTGTCCTAATTTGCTGTATTCCTGCTTTGTTTCTAACTGAACAAGCATTTATATACCCTGAAAACATAACCTGCACATTCATATGCATTAAAAGCTTTCTTTAGTCTGCAAGCACCCTTAATAAATGACCGTTTAAACGTTATGAGGAAGCACAGATGAAATGGTCACCAGATGGTCCATAACTGCTGAGGAGAAACCTGCACTCCTGATAATGAAGAGACACAAGACCCCCAGTAGTTCCTTTCGTCCATCAGGTTTTCACCTGCTCAGCTGAATCACCTTATTGTGTTAAATAAATTACATATGATGCTCTATCAATTGAGCAATACAATGACAAGCCCTTCCGTCTGCGCAAGCCATTATTTAATTATTTTGGATCGTTAAAAGAGGGGCTGTCTGGGAAAGGGGTTGGGTCAGCAGTCTATTACAGCTGATAGATTTCTGCATCTCAGTAAATTGATTATACAATGTGATGAATGGGCACTGAAACACTGAGGAAAACACACGGGACAGGAGCAATGATGTCATCAGGGAGGGTGGGGAACATGGGAACAGACTGTTCCGTTAGAATCTGAGAGTCCTGGAAGGCTCCACGGCATAACAGACGCGCAGTAATTTATTCTCTACAATCTCTCATCCTAAGGTCAAGATATTCTCTAGTGTTCATCAAGGGGTGAGGTAGAGTTTGCATTCGACACCAGGGTGTGAATTAGCACTTTGCGGACAGGGGAGGTGCATTACACCGATCTTGCCAGTGGAAAGTTATGAATTTATAATCATGCACGGCCATCTAATCTAACCAGCTGCCTGGAAACACAAGGTTAACTGAACATGGGTGAAATCAAGTAAATGTTCAAGTGTTTTCACCCTCACAAAAACTAATAAAATTAATTAAATAATAATAAATACAAATTATTTTTTTTAATTACAATTATTTTTAAGACTAGTAGTTAATAGGTTGCCTCCAGACCAAGTCAATCTTAAAGGAATACTTAAACAAAAATAATAACTTCTGTCATCATTTACCATATGTTCCAAACCTGATGACTTTATTTCTTCCAAGTAACCTTAAAAAGAACTGTTAATGTTATGCAAATATTAATGAAAGTCACAGGGGCTGTCAATCTACAAAATTAAAAAAAAAATTGCAATAAAAGTTGTCCATGTGACTTACGGGTACATTTCAAGTCTTGCTTGAAAGCTGTACAATATCTTTGTGTAGAAATGTAATCATAATTCACTCACTTGCTTATTTTGGTTTGAACTGTCCCTATAAGGAAGCCCTCTATAAACAGACTAGTTTAGGGTCTATCAGACATGTTTGTAAGAATATATGAATACTAAGCACTAGTCAACCATTCTGACCCCATTTTTTTTTTGGCCTTTCCCCTCTGGAAAGCACCCAAAAACCTTTATTTTTAATTGTAACATTTAATTTATTTTCCAAAAAAAAAAAAAAAAAGTCTTAAAGACATTAAGCCCTGAGAGGCTCTGAAGCCCCACAAATGAATACATTCAGCCAATGAAGCACTGATTCTCCAGCGTACAGCAGGTGGACTGGAGATCATGTGGATATAAATCTCAATTTGGGCCACAAGAAAAACCAGCCAAAACTCTGTAAGTGCAAATTCAAACAGATGGAGAGCGTGAATACTGCGGACAGTAATGCTGTTCCCCCAAATGACGTCACATATATACCAACCAACACACACACACACGAACACACGAACACACACACACACACACACACACAAAATACAATTCATTCCTGAGTACAACATGCAGAAGAACAGAAAAAAATGCACATTAAAGCAATGCATAAAGAAAGTAACAGTAATAATATACAAATGTGTTTGAGGGTCCTTGAAATTTAAATGTTCCTTATTGATTAGATGTGATTATGCCTTGTGTATATCTTAAAATCTTTTATACACTAAGAACTATACATTCAGATCATCTTAGAAACATTCATTATCTCTTTTAGGCTCATATTCCTTTATCAAAACTTCAGCCTACAGACAGAAGTATTGATATAATACAGTGCAGTACATACAGTACGCTGTGTGCTGTGATAGGCATATACAACATTTTAGTTCATATACAGTGCAGAATACATACAGTAAAACATTTAATAATTGCCGTTGAGATCTATAAGATGGATGCAATATTTTTGAAAGGTACAGGCATGTTTGATTTTTAAGAACATTAAATTAAAATGTAATGTAATAAAGTAATTTCCCAGAACTTATACAACATATAGCATGCACAGTTTGATCAAAATATTTAGAATTATTTACTGGATCTAAAAAATATATGAAACAGTAAGACCTCTTTTCAGCTTGCTAAAATGTGCTAAAAATTTGTCTCATACTGTACTTTGGTGATGACAGGTAATATAAACCTGGCAAGGATAAGGAGTAACACAAAGCTATTAATTCGGAGTCATACTCTTAACTGTCGAGCACTCTGGGCATTTTTTGATCTTGTACTATTAACATAGCAATTAAAACTTCATCTGGCAGCTCTCATCAGGTTGCAATGCTAGCAAACGCTAATAAAAACATGGTTTGAATGGCTTGTCTTTCCATATTGAAAAAAATGGCTTAAGTAGAATAGTCCAATTGTTGTTTTATAACTCAATTAAATATTGAATAGCTTACTGACTATACTGACTGTATAGTCATAAAATAATATTTTTGGCACATATACAAAATGTTGAACAGATAATGTTGTAATTAGTAACTGTGGATACACATACCTACTGAGAGTCTCTTGTTTAACAAGGATCTGACTGAATTTAAACAGTGTTAAGTACTAATGATTATTAATAATAATAACAGTAATAACAACAACAAATTATTATTATTATTATATTCATTATTATTAATACCCTTATGCTAAAATGAATGTCAATGCTAAATCTGGCAGCTCTCATCAGGTTGCAATGCTAGCAAACGCTAATAAAAACATGGTTTGAATGGCTTGTCTTTCCATATTGAAAAAAATGGCTTAAGTAGAATAGTCCAATTGTTGTTTTATAACTCAATTAAATATTGAATAGCTTACTGACTATACTGACTGTATAGTCATAAAATAATATTTTTGGCACATATACAAAATGTTGAACAGATAATGTTGTAATTAGTAACTGTGGATACACATACCTACTGAGAGTCTCTTGTTTAACAAGGATCTGACTGAATTTAAACAGTGTTAAGTACTAATGATTATTAATAATAATAACAGTAATAACAACAACAAATTATTATTATTATATTCATTATTATTAATACCCTTATGCTAAAATGAATGTCAATGCTAAAAAAAATGTTACAAAACCAGTTGGCTTATGTTATAAATGTTTTAGCAATATTAGTTCAGTACTATAAATAGTCAAATCCAGGTGTATATTTCAAAGCTATTGAGTTTTTAATAACGAGAATAACGCATAAGTTTACCAGCTATATTTGATAAAGCAGGTACAAATCAGATTTTTTTTTGTTTAATGCTGCACAATCAAATTAAAAGGTGAATTTAATTCAAAAGCTGCACTTAGTGAATGAATTAGCTAAAATTGATGCAAAACCCGGGTTCTTTTTTCGCGAGTCTAGTCTATTCCTTGTTTGTATGCATATTTCCATAAGCACACATACATCGTTTGAAAGACTCCATCATCTAGAAAGCATCTTGTTTTAAGTGTCATTAATATAAGAGCAATTCACAGATTTTAAATAACAAAAAACACAAAAAAATCTTGTTCAAATATCCAAATTTGAAATATTTAGGTAATGTGTTTCAGATGACCAAAAGCACAACAAATTACACCTTCCAGATAAAACCGATATATAGACGGCTCTGTCATATATATGTGTGCTATGAGGGGTGTGAGCGTTTGTGCAAGCAAAGGTGAGGGATAAAGTCCGTCAAAATGAAACATAATCCAAGTTAAATTAGTATTTTGAATATCCATACTTGTCACTGGTGGAAACAAATATAAACCGTACTATGTAAAAGAAGCACACAATAGGCCCTTTCCAAAAATATAGCAGTTTTCAATATCCCATGAACTATAAGCTGGACCAATTGAGATCAGAAGTGTCCAGAAAGTCTGTGGAAAATAAGCTAGAGGACTCGTGTCCATTCATGTGTACCATCCCAGGCCCCTCCCCTCCAGTCCCGCCCATTCCGAGCTCCATCCAATCCATAGGATCAGGGGCGGAGTCTATCAGATCTGAAGGCAAGTGACTGGAAAAACTCATGTCACATGTATCCATTGGGGAACGTGGGTGGTCTAGGATACTCGGTGTGCTGAGCATTTGGTTGTGGAGGTCAACAATTAGCGTCGTTGGTCCTCCTGGCTCCACTCCTAGCAAAGGTTTGCCAGTAGTGCTTTCCAGGAAATCTTCAAGACGCCCCCCTCCTGTGTCACAGTTGCGGTGTGCTTTAATTGAAGGAAGCTGAGGTTCTAAAATTAAAGTTTTGAGGGGCATATCAGGAGGACGGGAAAGACTGAGAGGGGAGGAGCTTGAGGAAAGGGGCGTGTTCGGCCGAAGCCTTTCGAGAACAGGATCAGGAGTGGTTTTGAAATTCTCAGAGATTTCTGTAGGATGCAGGAAACAAAGCATGAGTGCGAGCACCTATACACTTCTCTCATCTAAATTACTTTGAATGACAATAAATATTAAATCAAATCATCAAAAATCACCTCCACGCTGAATTAGGATATCAAACAGGTCGTCAACCTGCTGGTGACAGCCATTCTCCTGCAAGTACATCAACATCATTAGATACGCCAACAACATGGAGAGCTACTGGGTTCTCGTTCAATAATCAGATCTTGGATCTGCTACCCGAAATCCATGAAAACATTCAATAAACAAATATAATTTGTCCAAGTGGTGAAAAATCTAGGATTTCAACACAAATGAATGGCCAGAAACATTAATATGAAAAGAAAACAAGTTAATCTCGCAGAGAAATTCAACAGCAGATGGAAGAGAGGTGGAGGACGAGACAGTACCTGATGACAAAGAGCTATGGGTGAACACAAGGTGGAAGGAGAGAGCAAAGCATGCTGGTCCAAATTCAAACACATCTCCTCCTGACAGACAGATATGGACGCTTATTAAAGGATTTGTTCTGTCATTATTTTCATGGAACACTAACAGATGAATTCTGATTGATTTTCATGCAGTTCATCTCCATAAACAATAGTTGACAGGACAAAAATACGAGTAGCCCATATTATTCAAGCACTATATTCCAAGTCTGAACTCCTGAATAGTAGTAGTCATTTGACCTGTTTTTGTGGTGCTTATTTTATGTTTTTGATGTCTTTGGATATTGACAGACATGGGTCAGCATTGAACAGTGTTGGGGAAAGTTACTTTTAAAAGTAATGCATTACAGTATTGCATTACTCCATAAAAAAAAGTAACTAATTACGTTAGTTACTTTTTATGGAAAGTAATGCGGTATGTTACTTTTGCGTTACTTTTTAAATCTGGACAGGGCATGCTTGTTTCTTTTTAAAATAAAAAAGTTATATTTTTGGCAAATATAAAAGCCTTTTCACACCAAAAGTGAAACAAATGTTTCTCAGGCTCAGGCTGAAGGGAAAGTAAATTTACGTCCGTACAGTAGAATGCAGAAGAAGAAATTTCAACACACTTCAGCAATAAAAAAAAGACACAAATGTTTGTCTAGAGTAATTTTTGCTTATTAGTACGGTTGAACTGGATCATCGAAGGTCAGAAGCAAAGACATTGGTTAATAGAATGGGATTAAATACATAAACGATATTTGTGTTGTTTAACATAATATTCTGAGTTGCATTCTTTTTATTCATTTTAAGGAATACTGAATCTGTGTTGTTGTTTTTTTGTGAGTGAGATGAATTAATGCATATTCATATTTATTTTAGAACTACAGTAACATCTCCTGATTTCTCTCAACATGGGGACAGGAGAGCTGCCAATCAATAAATTGGAAAAAAAAGTAACTTGTGTTACTTATTTGAAAAAGTAACTCGGATATTCTCTTGTAAATTAAAAAGTAATCCTTTACTTTACTAGTTACCTGAAAAAAAGTAATCTGATTACATAACTCGCATTACGTTACCCCCAACACTGCCATTGAACTATATGAAAAAAAACTGCATGAAAGTACTCCTATTGTTCTCCACATGAAAAAATAACAACATAAAATGACAGAACGTGATGGGAAGAAACAGGTATAAAAAAAGAGGTTGGTGAGATAAAATGACATAATGTGATTAAAAAAAAAGAGGAGAGGTTTTAGAGTCAGTTTATGCAGGGTTGGTGTGGATCATGATACCATGCCAAACTATCAAAACGGTTTAACAAGCATTTTGCAATAAAGGTCTTAAGATGTTAGCACAAACAAGCTGCACTCTATTAATATCACAGACCTATATATCCGTACTCCACTAACAGAATCTGAGCCATATAGCAGTCTAGACACAACTCCTATTAGAATTCCTGCCTCGTATGACATAGATTTTGTTATTTAGCTTTAGAAAAGATTCTTGCTGGCCCCAAGACAATCTTTACAGAGAGTACAGACACAAACATAAGCTCAGCTCCAAAACCCTTTTTGTAACTCTTTCCAGCTTTACACAGTCAACAGCTCTTAATCTTAGGTGTTGTGAGATCTCTTTTGCTCGAGGCATGCTTCACATCAGGCAATGCTTCTTGTGAAGAGCAAATTTGTGAGTGCTTTTTGAATGGACTCCAGATTATTCATGACTCCAGTTAGCAAATTTTTTTTCTAGTCTGCACTGCGAATGTTTACGAGGTTTGCTGTGTTCAATAAAGCCTATCATTACTTAAATACACTACCATTTAAATACAGTACCATTAGGGTTCGGTAAGATTAAACTTTTTTTTTTTTAAAAGAAGTCTCCTATGCTCACATTTATTTGATCAAAAATACAGTAAAAATAGTAATATTTCAAAATATTATTACAATTTAAAAGAACAGTTTTTCTTCTATTTGAATGTAATTTAATATTATATATCCAATAATATAAAATAATATTAATATTATTTAAAATATTAATACATTTAATGAATTCCTGAATTTTCAGCATCATTACTCCAGTATTCAGTGTTACATGATCCTTCAGAAATTATTCAAAGAGCCACATTTTTGCAAAAATTCAGTTAAGGGAATATTAAGGGTTCTCATACATTTTTCTGCAACTGTACATGCAATGCTACATTAGAATTAGTTTACAACGATTTACATTACAAGGCACAATAATGTAAACAAAGTCTAGCACACCAGGTTTTGGAATAGATTTTTAGTATGTACACAAACAAAACACTTACGTTGTTGTTGTTGGGAGATGAGGGGATGGGCTCGGTGTCATTCATGGATTCCACTGGAGAGAAGAATGGTTGGATATTGGTTGTTGATGAGATGGATGTACAGCTTGATGATTTGTAATTGGTCGTCACATTTAGGTCTGGCTTTAGTGCCTGTCAAAGTAAAAACATGCATCTCAATTAGTCCCAATGTTAATGGGCTAATAGCTCATGCCTGCAGCCCTTTGAACACCAGTGACAGTGATTAGTCATTAACATTTTAATAAGTGGGTTTAGCAGCCTCATAATTGTGTTCAATGACTTGTCAGGAATAAGTGATGTTGCTTTATACATATCATTAATTTATATGGAGGAAAGATGGCCGTTTTCTCCAAAAGTCCTTTCCTATTAGCTATCATGGAGTCTCAATTAACATTAAGAGCTTAAAGAATGAATGTGGCGATTGAATTAGAAGTAATATCAGCTGTGACTTATCTTTTTCTCCTTTCATTATTTGATCAGACTGACAAAATGTGACATTTTTACCCCAAATCATAAAAAATGTATTCTGTTTTTACACACTATTTAAAAAACAGTCTATAATGTGCAGTATGCAGCAGTATTTCATTCAAAACATCAAAATGTGTAAAAAAGTGGATTTGTACTAACCTTTTTGATTGGCTGTTTCAAAATGACAGTTTGTATGGGCTGTTCAGATTGGTTGTTACCATTAAGCACTTCAGTCACTGATTGGTTGTGTAACATGGTGGGTGCAGACTGCAGTCTCTGAAAATGACATAAACATCAATGATTACATAATAATTGTATAGATTTTGGCAACTCTAAGCACTAAGGCACAAGTTTAATCTGTTTGGCTACTTTGCTCTGGGCGCGGCGGCTTCTGGCAGGTGCCTCTGTGTTTTGATTCGACAGTGTTAGCAGGAACTGGTTGCCATTGCTGTCGGTCACTATGGTGGGGGTGGAGTTTGGGTTCAGTACATCCACTGGGAATGAAGAAACAGGACTTGACTGCTGGTTGGTAAGTGCTTGAGGCAACTGCTGGAAAAATGGAAAAGAAGAAAGGTTAGCAAAAAATGATCCATGATTTTCTATTACAATAAAAGTTCAATGTCTGACTACTGCTGTGCCACAAACATAACCCCAGGAGGCTGCAATATAGTGCTTGGTGTCAGGGGAAAAGTTCAGGGAAAATAGTGTAAAAAATCATCTTCCTTCTAAAAGTACTGTGAAAATACAGTGTCAACCAGGGTTGCCATGTCTGCATAACAAAACCAGCTCAACTGGTACCCAAAACTAGTCCAATCTTTCTGGAGAAAATTACAAATTGCACCAAAATCGCTCAAAAACCAGGGAGTTCTGGGAGGTCAAACCTCCTAAAAAAACAACCCCTGGCATTTTTGATTCGACAGTGTTAGCAGGAACTGGTTGCCATTGCTGTCGGTCACTATGGTGGGGGTGGAGTTTGGGTTCAGTACATCCACTGGGAATGAAGAAACAGGACTTGACTGCTGGTTGGTAAGTGCTTGAGGCAACTGCTGGAAAAATGGAAAAGAAGAAAGGTTAGCAAAAAATGATCCATGATTTTCTATTACAATAAAAGTTCAATGTCTGACTACTGCTGTGCCACAAACATAACCCCAGGAGGCTGCAATATAGTGCTTGGTGTCAGGGGAAAAGTTCAGGGAAAATAGTGTAAAAAATCATCTTCCTTCTAAAAGTACTGTGAAAATACAGTGTCAACCAGGGTTGCCAGGTCTGCATAACAAAACCAGCTCAACTGGTACCCAAAACTAGTCCAATCTTTCTGGAGAAAATTACAAATTGCACCAAAATCGCTCAAAAACCAGGGAGTTCTGGGAGGTCAAACCTCCTAAAAAAACAACAGTATAAAAACCACAAGCTTGGGAACACTGGTGTCTTAATTTTTTACTTAATTTTTATAGTATCTCTACAATCTTTTCATTTAAAAATTCTGTAATTTTGTTACATGCTTTTGTCATTTTATTAGCTTTTCTTTTTTTATGACTTATTCATTTTTTATTCTTATTATTCTTTGTTTAGTTTTGATTTATTTTTGTGTAAAATTTAATCTAAGTTTTTTCTTTCATTTAAAGCTGCAGTCCGTAACTTTTTTGTGTTCAAAATTTATATAATAAGCGAGTACACCATGAATCCATTTTCCAAACCGTGTTTTTGGCTTGCCCTGAAACACTACGGTACACCTATAATAAGTGTTTATATTCGGACTATTTAGACTGGTTTGGGTAGGTACCGCTGCGGAGTAGCCCAGTACCTGCGTGATTCACCATAGACATAAACAGAGAGATGTAGCTCCGGCAACAATGTTCTTCCGCAAGACGCATGCAGTTCTGTTTATTAACCTCTAGAGCACCAAAAGTGCAGCTTTAATTTAATTTAAATGTTTCGTTTTAGTTTTAGCGGTAGTTACCCTAGTTCATACTTTGAGAAGCTGGGTCCTTCGTAAAGGGATCACGACTTAAAGCAGGAATCACTGTGTAGTTTTGGAACTGTTCTTTTAATTACTCTAATTAGATGACAATTAATCATATGATTCATTTCAAAAAGGAAATTGCATGCCGTGGAAATTTCGTACTGACTTGTTTTTGTTGGTTGTGCTGTTGTTTTTGTGTCTTCCTCTTCCTCTGATGTGCTTGTCGCTGTAGGTTGCGCTGATTCTGTTGCATTATGAGCTGCTGTTGCCTTTCCTGCTCCAGCTCTATTACAGCCACCATCCTTTGCTGCTGCAACTGCGTCTGCGGGAAATACTCTGTCACCATCTCGCTGTCTTCAATCACCTCTATGACCTCTTCCTTTATGGTCGCCCTGACCGCCTCCATAGTGAAACCAGGAAGTTCATCTTTCAGTCGGACCGGCAGGCTCACCTGTTTGCCCTCCAGCTGCGAGCGCAGAGATTCGACCAGCTGTTGCTTCTGCAGCAGCATGCGTGTGAGCTCCTGAATGCGCCGGTCCTTCTCCTGCAGCATCTGGTCCTTGTCTATAGGGGGCGCTGCAGACTGGGACACCAAACAGCAGGAGGACTGAAACGTCCGGCTGCCGGGCTCCTCTTTAATGCAGATCGTGGAGGGGATAGGAGGAGAAGGTTGCAAGGAGAGCTGTGTAAGAGGAGAGGTCACCTGGAAGGGACAGGAATGGCAAATACATAAATATTAAGAGCTATTCAGAGTACTTGAAACTCTTTGCGAAAACAGTTACAGTATATATGTGTATAAATGTAATAATTCCATACTTTGGCAATAAGCAGTTAAGATGATAGATGCAATATTATTAATAAAATAAATTGTTATCAATTATTAGATTTTCATTACAAATAAAGTGAATTTTACTTTTATTTTGCTGTTGCTAAAGTCTACCCTAATTATTATTTTGAAGTAAACTGCTTTAATTTTTATCAATAAAATATGTAAAAAATTATTATAACTGATTTTAATTAAAAACAAAGTAATATTTTCTTTTCATTTTACTGTTGCTGAAGTCCAGATTAACTATTTTTTTTTTTTATAAATGTATTTAAATTATAACGAATAATATCAATTATTATGTTATTATCAATTATATAACAACTAGATTTTTACTAAACATAAAGTATAAAGGATTTTCAATAAAAAATAAAGTATTAAAGATTTAATTTTAATTTTACTGTTGCTGAAATGTAACCTAACTATTATTTTGATATAACTGGTTTCATTAATAATGAATTAAATATTTTTCTATTTTATTATCAACTATACAACCAACAGATTTTCTATATTTTAAAATATTTGATCAATTATTAGACCAACAGATTTTCATCAAAACTAAAGAAGGATTTTATTTTCATTTTACTGTAGCTGACGTCTGGCACATTTATTATTATGAAATTAATTATTTATATTATTACTAATAAAATCAATTATTATGTTTTCAATTGTTAGACTAACAAAATGCCATTAAAAATAAAGTAGAAAGTAGCCTAAAGCTCACATCTGAATGGTTTTTGGTGAGTAAACACTCAGAGGTGTTTGAGAGCCTCTAGCTGCTGTGGTGCAGTGCTTCACAGGTCGCTTCCACAGCAGACACGGGGTAAGCTTATCTGTAAATGTTGCTTTTTACACACTTGATAACGGTTCACAATTGCTTATCCTTCAGTTACCTATTTTTATTAGTGTGAAGACTAGCAGTAAGAAAGCACAGAAGGCCATTTACCATTTCCCCAAAAGCATCCCCATTATAGCTTGTTTCATCTGGGCTCATTCCAGTCCATGAGCGCTCTGAGTGGGCGGGGGAAACTGGAGGGGAGGAGCTAGTGCTGCCAAACTGCATTATCTGAGACGCTGTCGTCTGAGCTCCACCCCTTTCTGCAGTCGCTACAAATGGGAAGGAAGCAACCACCACGCTCCTGTCTGCTGACTGGGTGGCGGAAGAGACTCCTCCCACTACAGGGGTTGATGATGTGTTGGTTTTAGTAGATGCTGGTGCATTGGTGCCACCATTCTGCCCGTGAAAATTCTTCAGCCGTTCAATTAGGTCATTTTTGGCGCCTGAGACGGTTAAGCCTCGCACTTTTAACTCCTGCTTCAGCTCTGCCACCTGCAGGAAATGAAGAGAATGACAGGATGTGAGAGGAGCTCGTCTGACTCTCAGTCAGTGATCCGTACTGAAATTCAGAATTAGCATCATAGCAGGGGATTCAACCTTTAGCTCATCCAGGTTGGGAGGCAGAGGTCCTATTTTAATTGCAGTGATCTGCTGATTCTGGCCAGTCAGATTAGTGGATGTTGATTGAGGGAGCGTGCCATTTTTGGATGGTGACAGGCCATTGGCTGAGGCAGGCTGCTGATCAGCAGGAGGCCTAAGTAAAGTGTAAAAAAAATAAAATAAATTAAGATAAGATTTTGTACATACAATTCTATAAAAGATTTTTTAAATGTATATTTTAAATGATCATTTTCTGTTCATCAAAGAATCCTGAAAACATGTATCATGGTTTCCACATATAATAAGTAGAACAACTGTTTTCAACATTGACAATAATAAGAAATGCTTCTTGAGCATCAAATCAACATATTAGAATGATTTCTGAAGGATCATGTGACATATTAAAATAGAAAATAGTCATTTTAAATAAATGTATTTTTGGTCAAATAAATGCAGCTGTGGTGACCATAAAAGATCTTCTTTCAAAAACACGATTTTTTTTTTATTTGTTTAAAAGAAATAAATAAAAAAATTATATATATATATATATATATATATATTAATTTTTTTTTTAAATTATACACACACACATATATATATATATATATATATATATATATGTGTGTGTGTGTGTGTGTGTGTAAAAACAATGCAGTTGCTATCTGGCATGTCTTACTTGGGTGGAGCAGGCAGGATGGTGTGGTAGTTGTAGTTTTGCTGCTGTTGGTTGATGATCTGCAGCTGGAGGAAGAGCTGCTGTTGATAGAGGAGTTTGGCATAGGAGGAGTCGAGCAGAGGTGGAGGCTCACGCTCGGCTTTCTGGTCCGGAGGAATATACTGGTGATACTTCAGCTTCTTCACTTTGGGTTTGTTATCTCTCACCTTCTTAGAGCGCTGAATAGCTCGCTCACTACCCACTTTACCACCCTAAAGGAGACAGAAAGACAAGAGGATTTATCTTGTGGCATTATTTCATGTGTGCAAAAAATTGCAATTCCAGCTGTCCTGGGTTTAATGAGGAACTCTCACCTTTTGTAGTGCAGGAGCTTGCTTGTGGCCTGTTGTTCCATTGGCTAGTTTCTGCTGAGGGGCAGGACCAGCTATGTTTGGCAGCGGTGGAGGAGGAGGAGGAGGTGGGACCTAAGAAAATCCGGAGAAGCACATGAACTTGAGGAACTCCATCATGTTTGCGTGACTGCATTCAGAGAGCACAGGAATGTGTGTGTAAACGCGACTACAGGACCAAACCATTAATGTATGCAGATGATCAAGTGTGATGCTTGTTAGCATAAGTGCATGTGAACTTGTCTGTGTGGATGTGGAATGAGCTGAATGAACATCTGCAAATAATTCAGGGCTCTTGAGAGCTGACTGAGCACGAGGAGCTACACGAAGACTTCAAAGTGTGTGATATTCTGATGAAGATTATTTCTTTATTAACCTTAGAGGGGATTTACGGAAACTGCCAAGATTTGTACAGGTTTAGTTAAAAGTAGAGACCACCTGTTTGAGACACTCAATTCACATTCTGTGTGTTAAAAGTATATATGTTATTGGTGATGGGAAAAAACATACATTTGACATAACACTGATACTGTTTGAAGTATTTTATTAATGTTATTATTTTGAATTAGCTTTTATTTTTATATTTTCAGTTTAGTCATTTTGTTATGTACTTTAGATTTTTTTGAGACTTCTATTTAACTTTTTATTTCAGTTTTTAGTAATTTTAGTACTTAAATGAAAATCAGAAAATCATTGGCAATTAGAAATGCACTATCAACTGAAATGAGTTAGTTAAAAATAAAATATAAATATTATATGAAAAATATTTTATAAATTCTTAATCTAATTTTTAATAAGCTTTATTTTCAAATAACAAAAAATACTTCTAATGGTTTAGCTAAATTCATCACCTTAGTCGTTCATAATAACTGGATTAGTTAGTTTAATTTTATATTACCTTACATGATGTATATTTAACAAGAAAAAAATGCAGGGTGCAGGGATGATGATCATTCTATGTAATTCATATATTTAAATTATATTTTATTTTATTTTAATATTTTCAGTTTTCATTTTGAAAATTGTATTTTAGTTTAAGGTTTAGTAATTTTGTTATGCGCTCTTGATTTTCGATATTTCTATTTAGCTTTATTTTTATTTCAGTTTTAGCAATTTTAGTACTTAAAGCTGCAGTCCGTAAGTTTTGCCTCTTTGTTGCCATCTCTGTTTGAAAACCTGGAATTGCAGTTACTTGCGGAATTATCTTCTTGTGTGGGATGTGAGTGGGCGGATGAATCTAATGTTCTGAAGAGTATGTGCGGCAGTCAGTCACCGGCCGCACCGGTGTGGATATTCACTGTACTTCGCAATCACAGATTCTAGCCTACGTCTTGGAATATGACCCAAATAAGAATTTTCACCATATATTGCCATCTGAGCAAGTAAGTAACAAGTCTGCCACGTTTGTTCTGACCAACTGAGGAAAAAAGCATTACCATAAATCTCGCTACGAATTGTGATTAAATCTAAAGATCGGTTAGCTCATATCACATCAAACCGTTCAAATTATTATTATTAGGGATGCACCGATACCGATACTGGTATCGGGCCCGATACTGAGCTCCTGTACTCGTACTCGTACTCGTTAAAATGCCCCGATACCAAACGCCGATACCACACAGCATGTGGTAAGTGCCATATTCAGACAAAGAAACACTGACAACAGAACAACAGACAGCAGAATGGAGTTATTAGAGATTAAGGATGTATACGAAGTATATGTATGCAATGAATATAATGTTAAACATTCAGTATTAACGCCTGTATAGCTGATGTGTGCGAGCTGATAAGCAAATCACGCTGAGTGGATTGAGCGCACGGCGGCGCAAATGCACGAGTTTGTCGAGTGAATATACCTTTCTCACAGACATCACTGGAAAGTTTGTAGTTCGGTCGAATATGTCATAAACAAGTAAGTAAAACAATGCAAAGAGAGAGCGAGAGTTAGGAGTACCACAGTTAGGAGATTTATAACGAGTGGTTCCCTGCATTATTACAGCAAAGCGCGTGATTACAGTATTAAGCCGCTGCAATGGAGCAGCTCTAATGCTGTTAAATTAAAGATGATGTACCATAGATCAAAAAAATTAACAGTGAAAGTAACAAAAACTTGTAAAATACATTTTAATGGCCATAATTAAGTGTGAAAATAACCGAAGGATATACAGTCAAACCAAAAATGATTCAGAGACCAGATATAATTTTTGATATTTTTTTACTAGTGGGTGCAGGACACTATAGTTCATTTATGTAAGTGAGGACAGCAAAATAAAGTAAACTGTGATAAATTATACCCAAACATTCTTCATACGGTGGACTAGTAAAACTGATAAAAAAATTTGGGACCAAAAATTATTCAGACCGATTTTGGGAAAAAAAACTGAAGTTGAGGTTTTCATGAAGCTGGGTGACAGCATGCCCAGGAGACTACAGGCTGTCATTAAGGCTAAGTGTTGCCCGACTAAGTATTCATAGTTGTGTAAATACTGTCATACTAACAGCTGTCTGAATATTTTTTGGTTGATTGTAACCTTTCTATCAAAGTTATCTAACATTATCAAGCTGAATTTGTTCTGACACAGTTTAACTCTGAGTTCTTGTCATATTTTATTACAATTTTCTAAACTATAGCAAATAAACTGTAAATTTTGGTTTGACTGTATCTATTTTATAAATGAAGTTAACCAACTAACATTATACATACTCTTTTGGTTTCTGTACCCAATATTTTAAAAATTTACAAATGCAATAAAAATATTGGTATCGGCACTCGGTATCGGCAAGTACCAAAAATAAAAGTATCGTATCGGACGAGTACTGGAAAAAGTGGTATCGGTGCATCCCTAATTATTACTGTTATACTTTATTCTCAAATGATTAATGTTAACAACATCAGCATTGGTGACAATGAGTACAGTGTGTATTAGCATGTAGATTTCAATTTCTGCACAGTCTAATCTAATTGTCATACTCTTCGTATTTCATATTAAGAAATTCTTTTAACCCAAAAAGCAAATTATGCTCCCTTCGAATTGGTTTTCTTTAAAATACAAATCTTTGTAATCCCAGGCTATCTGAAATCAGAAGCACATTTATAACTGGAATATAATTTAATTTCATTCAAATGTGTTTCATAAACACATAATCCTTTATGGATTACAATCCGCCATCAAAACGATACATTTCATTATTCTGGCTGATAACGCAAGTGCCATGCTCGAATTTCCCTCGAAAACCTACCCGTACCACTCAAATTAGAAAACATTATTATAAGATAACCGTTGTGAATCGGGCTAAAGTAAGGCGATAGTTTTGAACACTGGCTGGTTATGTACTTACTCAAATATTGATTTCGGATCATTTTTAACCAAAAAAAGTTACGGACTGCAGCTTTAAATGAAAATGAGAAAAGTTGCACTGGCAACTATTTGAAATAAGTTAGTTAAAAATAAACTAATACATATTAGATGAAAAACTTTTATTATAGATTTTTTTATCTAATTTAATATGCTTTATTTCAAATCATGAAAACCTCTCTAATAGTTTTAGTTAAGAATAACAATACTGACTGTTATTATGTTAACATTAAAATGTAGCTAAAATTAATTGCCTTGAAATACATTTTAAGCCTTATCTTTAACTGGCAAGTTAATCTGAATTGAACATCTTGCATTAACTAAAAAAAAATTCTATGACTTTGAGGTCTAAAAATATAAAAAATTTTTACAATTTTTTTTTTTTAAGTACGCAAATTGACACATGGCACCTGTTTTGGTGTCGTTTCATTGGCCAGTATCTCAGGTGGGGAAGGTAAGTGTCCTTGGCCGAGGGGAGAGTCCTGGTGGAGTGTCTGCTCTGGTGAGAACGCGTCACTGCTTTCCTCGTCAAATGAAGAGTTCTCCGTTTCTACTTTTGGAAACTCCGTCTCTGAGGGAGAGAAAGTGTAAAAAAAGAAAAGAAAAAGAAAAGGATGGTTAAAATACAACATTCAAGATTTTCATTTTCTCAAGTAAGCACAAGTAAAGTTTACCTATGCAAACCTCGCTGCCACAATGTCAAGGTGTTGCTACGCAATTGCTAAGGTATTCTGAGTGGTTTTTAGCATGTTAATATGTGGTTGGTTACAGGCTCAAGTTTTGTTCATTTTCAGTTTATTTTTATTTTTGCATTTTAAAAAGGGGTTTATTTTCAGCATTGTATTTTGCGTTATTTTCTGCCAGGTGATTGCCTAGTCAAGTAATAGTCCACCTCTCTTTAACAAACTGCATGAATTAAAATACAATTTTTGCCCACAGCTCAAACATATGGGACTTAAATAATTAAAATAAAAAAATTAAATAATGAATGAATAAAATGAATGAACGAATGAATAAAAAAATGTGGTGGCAATAGTAATAGTCAGTCATCTTAAATAAGAAAAAAACAACAACATGAAAGAACCCTCTGATCTTTAGTGCACTGCTTCTCTATTTCACTTATGCTACACTAATATTGTCCCAGAGTGAATAATAAAACCTTTAAACTCCAGTGCATGCTATTTATATTTAATTTGAGTGAGTTCTGAGAGAGTGGCATTATGCCGATAATCATTAACTCTCTAATTAGGTTATTTGGGGATTAAAACAATTTAAGTCGTTCTGTGCTTTCAGCATTCCTTCACTGTGCTGCATTGTGTGACGCTGCATTAACTTCACGGTTAATCAACTCATGCCACCACAGAGTGGCGTATTCTGTATGAACGCGAATGTAAATTCCCCTCTAATTAATTTAACTTCATGTTTGACGCACACCAATCTCATTACCATAACTCTGCATTCAATGATCACCCACTGCACTGCTGCAGGAATGTGGCAGCATATAAATATGAAGATGAATGCACACACACCGCTAATGATGCGCTGGAATGAGTGCCTGCTTATGGATGTAGATTGAGGAGAAATAGGGAATGATCCAGAGCTCTACACTGCCCAAAACTCACGTTTGAATCGTCAGTGGCAAATCCTTTAAATATAAAAAACGTACTTACAGGCTGTGAGTCAGCATTATTTGTCAGAATACTGGCATTGTAGTCTACTCTCTCAGGATCAGGAAACAGTCCTCCATAAAATGCGTTGCACACATCTGAATATTTGGGTTAAACTGTTCTGGAACAGTGTTGTAAATACAACTTAACCACTGATTTCTAGTTGTGTCCTCTTTTGGAAGACCAAACAAAGTAGTTTCGCTTTCACAACGAAACACACAGCGTCTCCACAACATGGAGGCGGCGGCAACAACAATACTACAGCGAGAATCAAAGTTACAAGCCTTCTTTCTTTGCGTATACATTTGGGCAGTGTTATGCAAATCTTCCCACACAGTGACGTAGATATGTGGGGGCGTGTTTAAACGAGGTGTTTTAGGGGGGCGTGGACGAGTCTTAACTTTTATAAAGAATATCTCTTTGGATTTGAGACTTTAGTCTTTGCAACTTTAGGGATCTTATCTATTCACGAACAGCTCGTAACACTCCAAAGAGAAAGGAAAACTTGAAATCGCATCATATGAACCCTTTAAAACAAACGTTGATAAAGAGAAAAATAGGACGATTGAGGAGAAATGTATATATATATATATATATATACAGATAAAAATTCAGATGGGTTGTGTATGTTGAGTATAAAATGGAGTGTGAAAGTTCAATAAGTTATGACTTAAATAAATTATCTTAAAGTTTTGTTAAACTTATACTCAAAGCTGACTGGTGGGCAGATATATTTTCTTAATGCTCAATTTTTGTGACTGATATAATGCTACTATATTTAAGACTGCAACAACTAATCAATGAAATTGATAATGAGTTTCTTTATAATACATTAAAATATTTACAATAAATTATATTATATAATTAATTAAGATAGTTGTTATAAAAAATTTGACATACAATATATAGACAGTAGTTCAAATTAAAGTAAGTTAATAATAAAAAATTATTAATTAAACTGTACCGACACAAGGGGGAACTACTACTCCTGTTAAACAGCAAACTGTGTAGAACATTTTACTGTAGTGTGTATACTATACCGTGCTTCTTGCTTTAATTTAGTACCTATGATGGCTTGTTTGAGGCTGCTGTGCACTGGCAGGATGTTTTTGTGAATGAGCTCCATCGGACCGGGACGCTGAGAGATTTTGTCATTCAGATCGTCGGCTAGTCGAGCTCGTTTCAGCAGAAGCTGCTTGGCCTGAAGAGACGGCTCTGCTGACGTCTCTGTAAAGCGGAAATACATACAGTTAACAAAAAACACAGGCATCATGAGCCGGATCACTTTGTTCACTACATGTACCTCAGTTTATATTGTACTTCTTTTTAAAATAAACATTTAAATGAATTTATTTAAAGCACAGGCTGCGTTCCATAATCACATACTTCTCTACTATATAGTAGGTGAAAAACAATATGCAAGTAGTATGTCCGAATTCACAGTATTTATAAAACAGTAGGCGAAAAAAAAACCAGATTACCTACTATTTCCAGTGTGATTTTGAAAATATGCATACAATGGACACTTTACTGCTAGGATTCACGAATGGCAGTGAACTGACACTGGTAGGTCACATATGGACGAATGTAGTGCATCCAGATTACAGTCATACTACACGCATTCATACTATATAGAACATACGTTTTAACAGTCTCTAAGTAATTGCTTATTCCAAAGAAGTGCCTACTCAGAGAGTGTGCGATTTCAGATGCAGCCAGTCTTCAATCATAGTCTCTCTCTGAGGTGTGTGTCAGTGTTTGAACTGCAGGGGGCGTTATTAAAATACTCACCTTCAAGAATGTGCATCCTGACCAGTTCTGATCTCTCTGGACGACTGCGGATCTTTCTCTTCAGGTAGTCCTCGGTCTGAGATACAAGAGGAAAGTATAAGAAATAAAGGGAGTTTATTTTGGCTTCGTTAGGAAGAGATGATAAAAAAAAAAACAATCCGTAGTGAAGGACTAACCCGAGCTCGTTCTAAACTTCGTCTCTGCTCATGAAAGGATGCAGAACTTTTCAGTGCTGGAAGGAAAAAGATATGAAGAGATAAGACGATTAAATCCAAAGTTGATATATAAATGTATAAAGTTTCTCTGTTTAAAAAAAGAGCTGTGAGAACGGAAAATATTTTTTGGTAAATGAGAAAAATCATAAATAGCAAACTCGTTATCTGCGTCATGCAGATTACAGGAAACATCTTTGTTGCAGTGTGGTGCAAATACCTTTCAGCTTTTTTTTTGGATCGGGTGAAAATTGTATTTTTGTATAAAAAAAAAGAAAGATTCCGAGAGAAAAAAAGATGCTTGTTAAAAGACCTTGATACAGGAACAACATATTAAACTGCATCTCTTTACCCCAGGCACACATACGCACTGGTAAACTCAAAATCTAAAAATAATATCGCAACAGGCACATCCGAGAGACAGTTTAATCCAGCAGGTTCACAGTCTTGAGTGTGTGTTTCTGCCCCATATTTAATACACCTTGAAACACAGCTTCACAGTTGTCAGCACACTGCGTCTCCAGAGACTGAAAGCAAATCCCGCTGGTGATAGAGACAACTAGAGATTTATGAAAATTTGTGTACGGTGCTTGGCCATGCAAAAATCTGGGTGGTTTTCTCAACAGTCTGTAAAATTATCCCCTCTCTAAATAACTCATTAATTCAATTATATTGTGCTACATTATAATAAATGAAAAGTTAAATATAAAATAAATAAAAAATAAATACAGAAATATAGCAAATTTCAATCAAATATCGTTGTGTGTGTGTGTGTATATATATATATATGTTAAAGCTATTTTCCAGCTAAACTTGTTTTGCTGCTTGATATTGCAAACTGGTGTATATTACCATATAATTTTAATTTATTATCTTATTTATGAACACGCTGGTTGGTAGTGCAAACAGTTTTACCGTTTACTCTGCACATTGTTATTTTTCTCATTATTTCCCTACAGCGGCTAATGAACCGGAAGTCTCGCACATTCACAGAAAACAGCTTACTTGCGCTTTGAAAAATAAGGTGGATACACATATTATATTTAATATATTATATTTTATATTTAATACATTTATTACACACATATATCATTGAAATATAATACTATAATAATATACTAATATAGCACTTGCATATTACTGCTCTTTGGTTGGTTTTGATTGCTTCTATTGTCCTCATTTGTAAGTATCAATGTATCGCTTTGGATAAAAGCATCTGCTAAATGACTAAATTTAAATATAATGTAAATGCTCTTTCCTTTTAAAATTAGAGGCAACCACTGCATTTTAATCCTGATCCAAACAAAGAAGCAAAAATAGAATGGTTTGACTTCAGTTTTGTGAAACTATAAATAAAAATATCTGCATGAAACAGAAACAGCAGACGAGCTGAATGAGACGCAGATTCACTCTCTGCCAGCAGGTGGTTTCCGCCCGTAAACAAAGCAGCGCTGCACTTATGAACTTTAATATGCATTATACAGAAGCAAGATGAAAAGAAAAAATACCATCTAAACTTTTCTAAAGACAGTAAGTTCCCCTCAGACATGCATTCATATAAACTCCTACCCCTAAATGAATCACGATTTGTTTAGCATCTCAACCGATTTGAATGGATTTTCACCCGGCTCGCGGTTAATCGTTACATCCCTACGAAAGATCACTTTCAGTTGTTACAGATTGAAAACATTATTTTATAAAATTAAAAAATCGATACGATATAATTCCGATATCGATATGAACACTATTAAAAAAGCCTCATAAAAACGGCCAAGAACGGCCACGACAGATGTCCGTACCTACAAACTTATGAAAAATTTATTTGCCAACTCTATGAAACCTACTCCTATAAATATATGTATGTTAAATTCAATTCAGAAAAAAAAAAAAAAACTAAATTTACAATCTAACCTAGTGGTTCTGAGTTCTGCTGCTCCAAAGCTCAAACTGTACTTATTCTGAAGGCTGTAATGACTGGGTTTTAATGGGGGAAGCATTCATTTGAGAGTAGAAGATGTCAGCTCAGTCAAGGGCGATCAGACAAGGCAGATACTGTAAGAGTGAAAGAGTGCATTCAAGTTGACAGGAAGTGTAAACCAGCATACACAGGAAGTGAAAGGGAGAAGACAGTGAAAGTGGGGCTCAGGAATATTCTAAAAGAGCAGATAAGCATTTGCACATTTGCTGGTGGCTCTTCCTTCCCGTTGGGATCCATATTTAGATCCAGACAGTTACTGGGTGAGCGCTGTAAAGATCCCCTAGGTTGCCATCTGCTGTCATTGCTGTTTATTTCTATCCTGGACAGACCCTTTCTAACCAAACGACATTCAATATTCTCTCTTCAGAGTATCTAGTTTGCTTCATATAATCAAAAGGATTTGGAAAGCAAATGGCTTTAAGCAGACGTCTGACCTTTTACTAAAATATATAATGGGAAACATGGCATATATTTAAATACACTGCTTATCACCTGCTCACTGGCTCAACTGAGTGTGTGTGTGTGTGTGTGTGTGTGTGTGCAACCCACCCAAATGAAGAGCATGGCTAGCCATGCACTCACTATGAGTTAGAGTGCACTAAATATCTCCATCTTAAACCCATGTTTTAGCATGCAAATGTATACAAATTGGATCTAAATCAATTGAAACATTTACATTTAAATTCTTGAAACTTAATGCTGCATTGAGCATTTTCTGCACCACTAGAGTCATTCACATTTACATTTATGCATTTAGTCATCAAATAGAATTGTAAGAATAATGACTGTTTTCACACAAGTTTCCCAAACCTACTGATTGGTTAACGCACACATGCTATGATTCATTTGTCCCAGAAATTAATTTCTCAGGACACCTATGTAAGTGATATTGGTTAAGTAGTAGTGCCATTTTATGCATTATATTTAAAAATAAATAAATTAATAATAAAAAAATCTAAATAAACAAAAAAAATTTAAAGAAAATAAAAAAGTAAAACAAAAAAATGAATGAAAATAAAAGAAATGCAAAATAAAAGAAAGAAAGTATATAAAATAAATACATTTAAATAAATGAATAAATAAATCAATCAATCAATAAGACAAAAATCTGAATTTGAGCGGAATGTCCCTGTAACCACATCCTTAAATCTTCAGGACAATCTTTTATGAATCAACATGACAGACGGGTAGTATAGAAAGCTAAAAACTAAATTTGTAAAAGATATAGGACAATTAAGGAAATCTCTATGAAATTTCTTCTATGCAAACAGTCATTTCTATGGCATCATCGCTGATGGTTGCACAGTGTTGACAATCCAGTCAGTGTGCCAAGCGAGACACTGGGTTCAAATTGGATCACAAATGCTGGAAGATCTTATGGGTCCAGTATGAAGCATTACATAAAACTACTTAGGGGAACCATCACCTCATTCGAACTCTCTGCTTCTGCTTTTCCGGCTTTCATTTCTTTTTCTTTTTAAGATGATTCTAAGAAGAGATCTTAAGCAAGAATTCAGTGCTTCCATTATTGGCACGCCTCCTTAAAGGGCCAGTCACACAATCAATGTTTAATACAAAATCAAACATAAATGTATATCAAATGTATTAGTTGGTGCCGTGTGCATGCTTTAAAAAGGGATGCAAGTATATCTATAATCATATAACAATTTTTGTAGATGAAACTGGCACATAAAGCATTGGAAACAGATATGATTAAACTTCACTACTGTAAATTAAAATGGGAAAAAAGAAATGCAAAGTTTTGCAAACAATTAGATCTTTGATTAGCTAGTCTAACAAAAAGCGACAAAAAGTGATGGTTACAGGGTATCTGCATATTTGAGAGAATGAAATGAAAGACCTTTAAGTCTCTAAATACTTCAAATGCAAACTTATATTCAGATGCAGAAGAATGGTCAGAGCAAAGGTCGGTTTTATGCTCTATAGCTTCAAGCATCACATCAACCTGATCATTTCCACCAGATATCCTCAAAAGGTTAAATCTAATGTTTTGTGTAGGAGTAAAGCCTGAGATCGGAGGATGGCACACGATTGCAACTTACTGGTTATATGTTTCTGCCGTACATGACTAGCTGTGTTGGTAACTTGGAAACAGGACCAGATTCTATTTGCCAGTGCTGCCTCTGCTTGTCCTGTTTCATACGGGGTTAATAACTGCTGTTAATCCCACTGATTAAAAAATAAAATTATTTACATAAACTTTACAATAACTTCTCCAATTTCGTTCTCTTAAAAACATGGAATGGAACATGCTGCTACTCTTTTTATTTTTATTTTGTTTCCAGGTATTCGCATAAATGACAAATTAATAGTGACCTATAATACGAAAAACTTTCATTGCTGTGTAACTATTATTGGAGTACTTCGGAATAACCCATAAACGGTGCATGAAACGGCATCTAAAATCTTCTCAAAGGCTTCTAAATTAATCATGAACTTTTAAGTTTAAACCTTTAAGTGTCTAAAGTGTTGCATTGTGTTAAACCATGCATCATGTGTGAGGCAAGTGTACTGTTAAAGTCTCAGTTATGTGTGAACAATATGCTTAGCATAAATGCATTAGAGACACTTACAATCTAGAATGACGTGACTCAAACTTCTCGCCTAGCTAAACTTGACAACCACGGCAAAACTCTTGCAAGTGTAACAGAACCGTCCTGAACCTTGCTGCCCGTTTGCACTAATACAAAAATGGCTTCAAATTAACCTAGACCCAAACAACATCAACAAAACACCAAAACGCCACATTCAATGGATTGAATTAAATATTCTGCTCGCACATCATCTTAGCTATGACCAGTAGTAACCTAAAACTTGAGATGTACCTTGAGTTATTAAATATAATTAGGTAATTCTTCTACAAGACACTTGGTGAAGGAGAACATATGTATTAAATGAAAACAGGAAGAAATCTGTTGAGTTATTTGGGCTAAGCTACTTCAAGGTTTTGACTTCAAAAAGAGCTTGTTCAACTTACACTGGGGTCCATGTTTGGGTGAGACCTCTGGGTACGTGTTTTACTCGACATTAAGCATTCAAATTAGGCAAACTATCTTTTAATTTGAAGTAACTTAAAGCAAACCATACATCACCAGCCAACACGAGATGGAAACCATTCTGTTAAAATCAAACACGTAGACACCATCAGAATAGTGATGACCTGACAGTTAAGCTCGAAATGTTGTAGTTTTGAGATGAATGGGCCAACCTTTCACGCTCAGAGAAAAACCACAATGCAAAGGAAGTGAATTTGACTCTATCTTATGCTTACCAAACCAAATCAGCAGCTTAGACAGGATGAGAGAGACTAGCTATACCTAGTAAGTTTAACCACAAGACATTCTACCCAGATTGCCATAAAGATGCAAACCGTGAATCAGGTGTGGGACGAATCTTGTTCAAGGGAAGAAAAATATCTTCAAAATCAGCCTAAAGGAACATTTGGGATGTACTACAGAACGTCTGAGATCCTCGAATCTAAAGCAGAACACTAATAGAACTGCATAGTAACAACAGATCATTAACTAGTACTAGTAAGAGAGAGTGAGTTCTTCTTACGTGGCATGATCCCTTGGTTAACCAGTTCTTCTCGAGTCCGTCTCTGCTGAAGTTTGAGTTGGAGCACTAGAAGAAAACAAGAAATCAAGTCAAAGATGAAGACATATAGTCAAATATCAAGGATGAAAATTTGGCAAAATGACTAATACTCATTCTTGGGACATAATGTTGCACTGTTACACAACGATAGCTCGTTTGGTTGGTTGAATGACAGATTTAGATTCAGTAGAGCAACATCAACTGTGCACATCAAATGTGCACAAATACTCACTGCTCTTACCAAAATAACTTTTGTAGCTTAAATAAGAATCAGGGCATCTTGAATTCAAAGAGTAAATACTAAGCGGTGTTTTATTTTTCCTTTTTATTATTCAGTTCCTATCCTACACTAATGTTAAAATGACATTTTTATGTAATGCTCGAGTAAAACACATACCGTTCACTTTCAGAAGTTGTTGTAGGGGTGATTTCTTATTAGAATCAGAATCAGAATGAGCTTTATTCACCACTTAAGTGTGCGCAAACACAAGGAATTTGTTGTGCTTTTACAGGAACTCTTGGTACATACATACATACAAATAACCATATATATATGACACAAGATAGTTATAGAAGTTCACAGAACTGACTCAGCAACAGCTGAGTAAAACTGTTTCATCTGAGCATGTGGCACTTTAAGCATTATCGTATCGCATTATTTAATGAGTTATCGCATATTGCATTTTTCTTTAATATCGCACAGCCCTAGTTCAAACCCAGTAAAAAAGATACGAGTGCTAGTATGATGCTAACAGACGGGTCTTGTGCAATGAAAACACATTAATCTCTCAAAACAGAAACACATCTGAAAGTTATTGTGCCTCAATATTTGCATGTTCTGGAGACAGCATGCTAAACTTAAGGAAATACACCATGACAGAAGACACATAAGTTGATAAAATACCCGGCGAGCAGCTCGATCAGTCTCCTTCATTCTCTCCTCGAACAAGCTCTTCCTGACAGCCGGCAGAGAGCTTATCAGTCAGAGAGGAGAGAGTACAGACTACAACACACTTCCTCTTCCTGTTTCTGCATTCAATTTAAAACAGAAGTGTGCGAGATGTTTCCACGGCTTACCACAGGAAGAAAGACTGTCAAATCTATTAAATTGCCTCGAATGTTTGTTTAAATCTAAATGAGTGATTAAACCAAGAAACATGTATAAAAAAGATCCACATCTACCGTGAAAAATATAATAGTAGCAGCTAGAGGTTTGGACATTTATACTACATCAAGCAAACAGCTTTACAGGTTATCTGGGGTTGGACTAAACCTCAAAGATAAAGTCACAACAACATGTTTGCTGGATCAAGTGATTTACCAGTAAAGCCACAAGAGACGAGGTAAAATAAACGACAGCACAAAGATCTTGCTTATTGGCTAAAATTTAGACTAAGCGAAATAATTGTTATTACGCGAACAAATGTCCATCATTTCAAGGCCCACAAAACAGAAAGTCAAGCAACCATCTCATTCATTAGAAGAAACACCAACACTAGCAAAAATAACAACGCTTGCTGTGTGTACGGTGGATTCAAATGTAGAGTCGTATTTTGGTATCATCCCACTGCAGATTTCAAACATCTATGAGAATGCAAAACCAGGCCGTTCATGTAACAAACATGCAACTAAACACCACCGCAGGGGGAACGGGCTCCTCTCTGATAGATTAATAACCTGATACAAGGCTAAATCGAGCCATCTCTCGCTGTGGTTTTGGTTCTCGCATCTAACTTTTTGACACATTTGCTCCCTGGCGTCATCATTAACCATGTGGCATAGAGTCAACATGTACGAATAGAGGAATCACAATAAGAGCTGTTAGAACATGCCGAAAACAACTGTCAAACATATAAACATATTTAAAACAATTTAGTCAAGAAATGTAAGCAATATTTGATAGATACAAAATATGTAATATAAAATATATATAAAATGCATAGTATTGATATGAACACACACACACACACACGCAATAATTCATAATACTCTTAATATTAACATGCCAATATTATATCAAAGCATATTTCCACATTCATTTGGATGACAAAAAGTATAAAATGGCAGTCATTACTGTAAAACATTTTGATGGTAGTGATATGTACTGTATGACGTCAAATGGTAGCATAGTTTGAGATAAAATCTCCTCATCTGACAACTATAAAAGCCAGGAGAGGTGTTTTTGAACATGGCTGATGTTGTTGAGGTCTGAACCTGTCCGCACAGTTAAATTTATTAACCGAGCGCCTATAGCACCTGTTCACATGCTGTTTGTGTTGTGGAATAGAGCCAGTGCCGCACCTGTTGCGCAGCTAAATTGTGACCTGGCTTCACAACAGCTGATGGGCTGTTGAATTCTGATCTGGCATGAGGTCACTAAAGATGATCGAGAGGTGAAATCGAGATGGCTGGCAGGAGGTGTGTGCAAGCGTTTCAGGAGGACAACGGTGCTAACATACACGCTAAACCTCAACGTTGTGAGTTAATGATTGTCGCACCCACTGTAAGCAAGAGAATTGAGGCTGATGACTCATTAATACAGTATCAGGGATCTAAAGATGGTCCGGGAAAATTGTGTGTGTGTATGATGTAATGTGTGAGTTTTCCTTCAGTGTCAGAGTGAGTAACTCTAGGACAAACTACTGCCGAAACACATCATCCACATTGATATAGCAATGTAATTTCATCCTCAGAGACCTGAAGAGTGTGAACAAAAGAAGAAAATAAAGGGAAGCACATAATTAGGCCCTATCAGGTCCTAACTTCATGGGTTTGTCATTTCCCCAAATAGTGTTGAAAAAAGCTGCAGGTTGCTGCTAAATAATCCATTAAGGCAAGTTTACTATAGTTTCATTTAGCCTTATATCTTTTATCCATGTAGAAAACAGTGTAGAACTTATTTTCTTACATATTTACATATAAAATATATATTTTATTTGTAAAATAAAATATTACACAGGTAATATGTAAATAGTAGTATAGATTATATATAGTCTTATCACTCAGCATACCCAGTTAAAAAAGTAATCGCTCGCCACTAAATTAGAATATTGTGAAAAAGTTCAATATTGTAAATTCATGGTGTCACACCCTAATCAGCTAATTACCTCAAAACACCTGCAAAGGTTTCCTGAGCCTTTAAATGGTCTCTCAGTCTGGGTCAGTAGGCTACACAATCATGGGGAAGACTGCTGACTTGACAGATGTCCAGAAGACAGTCATTGACACCCTCCACAAGGAGGGTAAGCCACAAAAGTTAATTGCTAAAGAAGCTGGTTGTTCACAGAGTGCTGTATCCAAGCATATTCATAGAAAGTTGAATATATATATATATACATATACAGGTACATCTCAAAAAAAATTTATATCATGAAAGAGGTCAACATTTTTTGTCACTCATTTCAGAAAGTGATTCATAGATTCATAGATTCATTACACAGAGTGAAATATTTCAAGCCTTTATTTCTTGAAATTTTGATGATTATGGCTTACAGATAATGAGCAGTGCCACAAACTGATCACCTCCATGCCACGCCGAATTGAGGCAGTAATTAAAGCAAAAGGAGCCCCTACCAAGTATTGAGAACATGTACAGTAAATGAACATACTTTCCAGAAGGCCAACAATTCACTAAAAATGTTTTTTTTAATTGGTCTTATGAAGTATTCTAATTTGTTGAGATAGTGTGGTGGGTTTTTGTTAAATGTGAGCCAAAATCATCACAATTAAAAGAACCAAAGACTTAAACTACTTCAGTCGGTGTGCATTGAATTTATTTAATACACGAGTTTCACAATTTGACTTGAATTACTGAAATAAATGAACTTTTCCATGACATTCTAATTTATTGAGATGCACCTGTATATGTATGTATGACATATGTCATGTAATATCAATTATTTTTTATGTAATATAAATCAGGGCCGCATATAATGGGTTTTAATGTTTTTGTCTCGTCGCTCCGGCCGGGACATGGCATTACAATATGGCAAGGGGCATAACATTTCCGTCACAAGTTTGAGGTATTCGGCCAATCACAATGCACTGGATAGC